AAGATAATGATCCCTCATATAGTTTATCAATATACTGATGTGATTAGATCAATTTATCTCGTTTGGAAGATCACAACTATTGACAACTATATACTAATCTCTATTTTAATGCTTAAATTTGCGTTTAAATAAACACCTAGAATCACGAACATGAATTCATCTCATCAAGCTAATCATGAAGATCAGAAATTAATCACTTTTATATTTTCTTCCATAAAGTGTGTACCAGACTTTTTGAGAAATTTTAAACTCTTTTCTAGTACTTAGGTGTTAAAAAATAAATAGACTTCTTTAAAGAATTCAAAAATATTTTATTTTAATGTGATTTGTAACACATTTCATTGGTCAGATTACAGATAGTGCTCTATATATATTCGATTAAATACTTTCTTTCACTGTCCATAAATATCAATAACAAAATTATATCCATGTCCACGTTGACTTTTGAGGTGTAATACGACATGGTCTGTGCTTGGTCCACCACTTTTTAAAGTAGCATAACCGCCATCGCCATCGGTATATTGATCAGTAACCACAATTTTAGTGATGGTACGTGGATGACTAAAACGTGGTGGCTGTAAGGATGATATTGCAGTAAAGACATAATATATAGTCAACAAAATCTGATACATACTTTTTGTTTGAATTCATAGTCATAAGAAACAACGCGTAGTGCCTTAAATTTTTCTGTAACAATGTCTCGGCTTAATAATACATCACGTGTACTTCTTGCGCCCCACTCTGCATTATGACTCAATGCGTTTTGAGCACTATTGCCTAAACCTATCAATAAAATAATGAAATAAAACACCAATTGAATTTTTTGCATTTTTAAAATAATTTTTAAACTTGTAATTGATATATGTATCTTTAACAAGGCTTAAAATCAAACTAAAATAAAATTTAGCTAAGTTTTAGTATTAAATTAAATCGTGCCTCATACATTTTTGAAGCTGTTATCAACAACTTCCGTATAAATTGTTTTATCTTTTGAAAAATATTTTGCTAACGAGAAAAAAATATAAATAAAAATAAAAGTAATTATTTGCCTCATAAATGCAAATGAAAATTTAATTTTATAGGAATATATCTTATATAGGAATATATATCTTATATAAATTAATTGTATGGATGCCTATAGTTTCATGTCTGAAGAAGTATTACACCATGGGTAGCGTTACATTCCAGTAATGTTCAGTAATGATCATAACGAACTGTTGAATAAGTAGATATTATGGGAACAAGCTTCACTGTCACTCATTTCATATCCAAAACATTCATAAAAATCACTTCGCATAAGTCGTATGTCTATTTCTATTCCTCTAACTATCTCTCTAATAATAATTTTTATATTATCAAACATAATCTGTAAATTTTTTCGAAATGTTTGGAATTGATGAATATTTTAGATAAATAAAATAATTCTAGATAAATAAAAACAACTTGTCAGATCAGTAGACTCACCCAATCCAAATTGAACAAAAATCAGTACCTGCCACCTGCTTCAACTCAAGTGGAAACAATAATACGACATGGATGTTTGCAGGTCAACGCGTTTTGGAAAGGCATGCAAAATGACTTAGCCTATCCTTTAACCGCTTTTTGAAGATTATGAGAACTGTGCTGATTACTTGTTGGCTAGAAGAAGTTTCAAAATCTTTGGAGCTTCTTTTTTAACTAGCAGAGCTTAACTAGTCATTTCTAACTATTAGTGGTCTGACTAAGTTTATAGACTTGTTAGATGGATTTCCTTTCGCTAAAATGAATGGCTTTTGCCTTCTCAAAGGGGTGGTATTCGTGCGCTACATATTCTGAACTTTCACCTTTAAGGTAGTCCTTCAGCTCTGCGAACGAACAGTGGCTTATAAATGCTAACACAACCGATCAATATTTGTGATCAAATGAGCTTTGATGTAGAAGGCTGTAAGTTCAACCTAAATAACCCTAAAGGCTATTCATAGGTAAAGGTACATAATTGCGAAATATGAAAAATTATAATAATTACCAGCCTTAATCTTTACTCTAGGTGTGCCTCAGTTGATCCGAAATCCAAAACCCCTTTTTTTAAGTATAGACATCGATAAATCTTCTCTCTCTCGCTTAAATTCTTCTAAGCCAAGCTACAGAGATTTTAGGAATTCGCTGAATAGCTTTGACGCACTAATATTGTTGCATTTGGTAATACTCATATAGTGAATATAAAACCCTCTATGTATATCAGTGTCAATATCTTCACTAGGAAGATGTTTTTTATGAATGTCTTGTGTACAAGTTTTGTCTTAAAAATAATATATAGTTTTTTTTAAATTTCTACAATTATTATATATACATATCTCTAAATATACTACATATATCAGTACTAGGTAGTAATACAATTTATTACTTCTAGATTTTAATAAAAATCTTTTACATATAAAACTAAAATTAAAGTTTTGTACTGATTGCGTTCAGCCGTCCGTTTTTAAACCCCAAAATGGATGCCACAAGAAGACATATAAATTAAAAACATTTTTCCTGTGTCTAAATGAAAAACTACGAAACAACAAATCATAAACCAAACCACCAATCCAACTACTACGAATAAGAAAATAATTTTTACATATAAAAATTTATGAACTTACTCCACTGGAAAAGCGACTAGAGTCGATTCAAAAAGTCTAGTATAAAAAAAAACAATGTAATCATGAGAGGTATTATAGTTAGTAGTTGGCCGTGCCAGCCCGTTCCTGGTGCAAGCACAAAAGCAAGCATTCACAAATAGTCAGCCAGTAGTTTTGCAGTCTCCGATGTCTAGTCGAGTTCTCAGGCAAACGTAAACGTTCGACCATTGAAAGGTTTTTGGGAAAACTTTTTACATGGCATGGACACTGTAGTAACTAAAACGCGAGCACACCGAAACCAG